ATATGCTAACAACATGAGACAAGAACGATGCTGATCTATGACTAGCCTCCAGAATAACTCATGGCGAAGAAGAAAAACTTACAGTACAATAATCTGGAAACGAATTTAGCAGGATGTGAATATAAGACGGATTGGGCAGAGGTGTTGCAGCCCTTGGCTCTATAAACTTTATGCGTAGACCTCAGAATCGCTGCCATATTGCTTAAAGAGGTTTTGCCGAATAATATCCTTATGGAACTCCACAATCTGCGAAAACATTATGGATTGATCTCTGTTCTATGTTGGGACGGTAACCCGAAGCCCGTATGCGCTACCACTTTGGAAGTATTTTAATAATATTATTATTATTATTATTATTTTTATTATTATTATTATTATTCATATGTCATGCTACATTATTTGCATAACGATAACAAATACTTAATGTGGTAAGAACAAGCTGTGAAATTAACGATTTAAGAGATTCATTGTTTCTCCATGTCGGCTTGATACTTGAACGTATAATATCTATTCACATTGCATTAATAAAAGATTATACGAGTCCACTGGCTCTGTACCCCGTTTCAATAGTATCTCGCAAGAAAATAGTGCTCCTACTCGGTTGCATCTACAATCTGATAACGATTAAATGTAGTGGTTTCTAGTAGTGTAATGTAACTACTCTTTTGCATATAGTCTCTCGCGGTGGGTGCATATTGTACTGTACTTGTACTGTACTGTACCACCCTGTTGCATCTAGGATGATGCAATGAATGCATATTGTAGCGTAACCACCCAGTTGCATCAAGGATCATGCAATGAATGCATCTTGTAGTGTAACCATCCTGTTGCATCAAGGATCGCTCAGTGATTGCATATTGTAGCGTAACCACCCTGTTGCATCTAGGATAATGCAATGAATACATGAATCATGTAGCGTAACCACCCTGTTGCATCTAGGATAATGCAATGGATGCATGCATCATGTAGCGTAACCACCCTGTTGCATCTAGGATAATGCAATAAATGCATGCATCATGTAGCGTAACCACCCTGTTGCATCTAGGATAATGCTGCATTCATTTGATGCATCCTAGATGCAACAGGGTGGTTACGCTACATAATGCAATGAATGCATGCATCATGTAGCGTAACCACCCTGTTGCATCTAGGATAATGCTGCATTCATTTGCATCATGTAGCGTAACCACCCTGTTGCATATAGGATAATGCAATGAATGCATGCATCATGTAGCGTAACCACCCTGTTGCATCTAGGATAATGCAATGAATGCATGCATCATGTAGCGTAACCACCCTGTTGCATCTAGGAGCTGGTGACGACGAGCGTGAGTAACGTGATCTGCAGCATCGTCTTTGGCAACCGCTATGAGTATGGCGAAAAGCAGCTCGACGATCTCATGCGTGCACTGAACGCTTTGTTCGTCCTGTTCGAAGTGACGGGACTACTCAACTACGCGCCCTGGCTACGTCATATCCCCGGCTTCCGCGGCCAAGCCGCAGAGGTCAAGAGATACTTTGAGTAAGTGTGCCGTGCGTTCGTTAGGCACTGGTTGAAATTATCAACGAGCTATTTTGTACGAGATGAATTGGATGAGGTTATTAACAACAAAAATGAGGCTGGGAAAGTGAGGTGAAACATGGCATATTCTAGCCAAATAACAACGTTATTGTGATTGGCTGCGACGTCTATCACGAGGAAAATAATTATGATCGTGTGTGTGTGGGTGGGGTGGGGTGAATAATATACCCCTTGAAGCCTAATACCTAGAATGATACCTACCTTGAAGCTAGCATATATATATATTGATTACCCGTCATACGGCACACAAATATGTGCAGTTGTTCCAGAGCAAATCGGTTAACAGAACGCGTTCGTATAGGTGTTTCTAGAATTACTGTTTAGTGCCAGTTCTTACGGGTTATGTATGTGGAATGTTTACTGCTCGCTACTGTAGAGTCATTCACGGCGTGCTGAAGCAGCAGATTGCTGCTCACCTGCTCGACTACGATGAGAGCAACATTCGAGATTTCATCGACGTCTACATCAAGGAAATGCACAGCGAGCATTCGAAAGGGCGACACCAGAGCACGACTTTCAATAGTAAGCCGCTATATATATTAACGACCTCTAACGCTTTTACGTTGCGGTGGTGGGTCAAGGGTTTAAACAAGTGTTCCTCTGTATAATATATATCTATATGTTCAGTATAACTGTGTTAAGCCCGTATATAGGGAACTAGGTTGCTCAAAGGCCGAGTAAATACCCGATCAGTTGATTATTTGTATTAACCTATTGCATATACATATATATATATATATATATACATATATATATATATATATCATATCACTCCAGTCATTTACAGTACGCACATCCCAATGGTGCTGGCCCTGGCGCGAATAGAGCGGATCTGTCAAATGTGTAGCCACGCGAGCCCACGTGCCAGCCCACCACGCGTACATGCCTTGCAGCGTGGTTTCGAAATCGCGGTGTCTCGGCACGTACATCTTAAACATCGTCTTATGCACGCGTCGCTGAGATTTGCGCTGCAGACGCCCGACCGGCGCCAGTCGTTAGCTCTGCGAAGAGCCGGTCTTGGGCCTTGCTCATGCTCGGCTCGCGCTCGCATTGTCCCGCGCGTCTCACAAGTGCGGCTTTTATTGCCAGAGCCGGAGCTGGTTTCCCTCGGGCAACAGACTCGTGCCGACTGCCAACAATTCCAGCGCGCCCAATGTTATCTTTAAAAAATTCAGACTAATCTCACTCTATTTAAATTCGAACGTACATATGTCTATACGTCTACACTTATTCGCGCATATATATTCGTGCATGTGTGTACGCGTCTCTCTCTCTCTCTATATATATATATATATATATATCAAGTGAGATATGTACTCTCTATTATGTACCTCTGAATCATATATACATTAAATATATATACATTATAAATACTATACTAATACTAAAAAATATATATATATATATATATACGGTGTACAGGTATGTATAGCCGGTGCACGGAGCGAAAGTCTAGACTATTTAGGTTCTGTTTTCTCATAGCTTCTATATTGTCGTATTCTTCGCTTGTTTATTTCTTCTTTCTATCGACCTCGGCGGCGCGGTTACGTCTACGCCACAGAGCTGGTTCCTTCTCTCCCTCTCTCTCTTCTCGCACCGCGAGCGCCGCACAGCTTTTTCACGGTCGAATTGAAAACAGGTTTGCATTCTGCCCCCGTCTGCATCCGAACAGAAGAATCAGCTGAGACCGTTTTCTTGAATGAGTCGGGCAGTCGGGCTCGAATAAAAGTACCTGGAGGTTGAAATCACAAGTTACAATGGGTCCCCCGGGAAACCGGGCCACTTGTGTATGGCTAAGGTTGTGCGCCGCTCACCGTCGGGTCAGCGGTGGTCGCCCGTATATACAGTGTTTCACATATCCGAATGCCGGGCGCAAGTTTGCAATGTAAATCGCACATACATACATTCAAGTTTTAAAACCTAGGGCGAAAGAACGAGCCAAGCCGGGTATGCTTAATTTGGCGAAAACGGCGCGCCGAATGCAATACCGATGTCGTCTAAAATATTCTCGCTATTCATGAGTTTATGAAACCAGCCACATAGAAGAGACGAATGACTTTCTCCGACAATGTGCGCGCACAAAGACCTAATGAAAAATGGATTATAATGCTCCCTGCGAAACTACGAAGTATTAACCCTGGCGCACACACACTCGTAACGCCACGTAACCATTGAAAATTGATTTCGTATACGAAAAAAACCCACGTCGCCGCTCCCGAATTTAAGTTCCAGGAGAACAAAAATCGGTGCGCTCGTTTGTATAGCCTGTCTTTCTAAAGAAACCCGAGCCGCATCATTATATCGTTCGAACCAATCTCTTGACGCCACATTGGTCTTGTCAACGCCACGAAATTATCGACCCGAGTGTGCGAAATACTGTTATCACCGCTATCGCTTGTACGCCGAGTGAAAGAGACAAACCAGCACTGGTATGCTGCGCGCCTGCACACACGAATCCGAGGGCAACCCGTGTCTGGCGCAGCGTTAAGCGAGACTTACTGCATAATAGTTAAACGTCCCTTCGCGTCCGATTACGACCGCAACAAGTTCAAGCCACGACAATCGCGCATTCAGCTCGCGTTTCGCACAATGTGGGAGCTCTTCCGTTCAAACAGACAGCGCACAAAAGTGCGCGAGTAATTGGGTACTTATCGTCGTTGGCCCGACGACAAACGACGGCGTGTATCTTGTCCGTCGATGGAAGACGCCCAGTCGGCCGCGGCAAGACTTCGTGGGGCGATCCCGCATTGTGTGCGTGCGTGCTGGCCGGGGCGATAGCGCGGGGGCAATGTAAACACGAATTTTCCGAAATCTACACGTCTGCCGGCTGCGAGGTTAGCAATCTCGACTGTGTATCTGTTATTGTGCGTGTGCATATATGTGTGTAAGGAAAACATACATGATGCATCTTACACGTTCCGGCATGACACAGAGTGCAGACAAATGCAGCCAATTGACCCTAAAACTCCCCCGAAAGTTCGAGTGTACCAAAAAGTAAACCAAAAATCAACTCCAAACAAGTATATCGTTCCATAATAGGGATGAAAAGACATGCTGAGAATGAAGATAATCATAGATACACTTAGTCGTTAAATGCTACTAACCTTTAAGGTTCACAGAGGGTATAGTGGTTATTTAAAAAGTAATAAGCAAATTCAGGAAATTGAATAAGTGCAACGTATAACAATCTTACACAAACCCGTATAGCGAATCGAATACCGCGAGAGCAAGGTATTTAACAAGAGAGACTCGTAGTATGCTATATGATGTACAAGCAGTTGGGTTAGCCATATTATCTTATTATGATCACATCATCTTGATCACATGAATAATGGTCAAGTGCAAAGCGCATTCATTTCCGCACGTTTTCCTTATCCGTTCAGTCGCTGGCGGCGACCTGTACTCGGTAACTGGCCTGTAGTCTGCATCAAGGTTGTGAGCAGGTGAGTTTCTTATTCTTCAGTTCTTCGCAAACGATCCTAAGTGCGGCGCATTATTTTTCAGTGGAAGAACTATTGTTTGTCGTATGGGATCTGTTTGCGGCGGGTACTGAGACAACGTCGACCACTACGCGCTGGGCGATGCTGTTCATGCTCAAATACCCGGATGTCTGCAAGAAGGTGCAGGCAGAAATCGATGACGTCATCGGCAGAGGTAGAATGCCGTGCATGGCTGACAAGACCAAGATGCCTTATACGGAGGCGACGATCATGGAAATCCAACGCTTAGGTCAGTGAGCATGTCGTGAGTAATCAGTCAGGAGCGCCAATACATAATATACTAACATATATATATACACATACATAAAATTTATGTATGTGTATATATATGTTAGTATATTATGAATGTGTTCAAAAGGTTTCGTATTGTAAATGTGATTCACGGAAAATAGCTTCTGTGATCATACGTGGCTACAAATGTGTAGAAATAAATGGGATTTGAACCTAAAATTGTTCTAGATAGCTAAACGGTCTAAACCTTATGGGATTCGAACGTAATGTTGATAACGTCATAAATATGCTAGCCAATCAAATGTGGTGTACGGTAAAATAGCGAAAGTAGATACTCTGCCGTATACGGTTAAATATCCACTGCGTTTCTTGTGTCCGTATCTGGAACACAATATAGGTACCATCGTGCCACTAGGAGTCCCTCATTCAACATCTGAGAAGGTCGAGTTCAGGGGCTTCAGCATACCCGCTCACACGCAAGTTATTGCTAACCAAACAGCCGTGATGCTAGATCAGACATACTTCCCGAATCCAGAGAAATTATCACCCGAGAGATACCTCGACGAGAACGGCAACATTACTAAGATCGACGCCCTGATTCCATTCTCTATCGGTACGCAGACACACATACAGATCGATGGATATGTATTACACACGTCTTATGTATATAGTGATGTGTATGCGTGTAACATAAAGTTTAACATATCAACATGCTGCATATAGGAATATAACTAGACATTGTTTGCGTTGCAATTTTTCTCTTCTGACCTCGCCGTTTTCACTGTTTCCTGTTCACGCATAAAGGAGAACAGAGTAGCTTCTAACATAGTTGCATTAAAAATAGAGACCTCTCACGCCTGTACGTTGGAGTTACGCATAATTATGTATTGAATATGTGATAATTATCGTGACATGTAAATTTCAGGTCGCCGTGTGTGCCTTGGCGAGGCTCTGGCCAAAATGGAGCTATTCCTGTTATTCACCAGCATATTACAAAACTTCAATCTTGAGCTACCAGGTGGCGTCACAGAACCATCTCTTGACGGAATTTTTGGGATTACGTGGATGCCAAAGGCCAATAAAATTCGTTTTTGCATGCGTTAGCGAGAACAGGCTGATAATTAATTTCAGAAGATTAATTTAAAACAAAAATCGAATCTACTAAAACAATTGATTAATTTTAGATTACACGAAACAGAATCGGGATACAATTTTATTCGCCCATAAAGCATAATAATACTGATGGATATACACAACCTCTTCGCTAGGTGGCACCACATGACTATCAAGTGACGACTGTCGAGCAGTGTGGTCGCTGTGTTGTTGTCTTTCCAATAATAAATAGTCATCCTTATGAAACAATCAAATAATATTACGTGTTTTATACATGATGTAAGCGTACCCAGGAGTATATCTTAACACTCACAGCGGTTGAATTATAACAAATCAGCCACCATTTTACATTGTTCAGTTGTCACTCTTTTGCTCCCCTCTCGTCCGTTTTGTCCCCCACTCTATGTTTCTCTTTCTCTCGCTTCCTTCCCCTCTCTGTCTTTCTTTCTCTCTCGCGCGCTCTTTTCTCTCTCTATTTGTCTACCACACTCTTGGCCTCTCTGTCTCTTTTTTTTACTATCTCGCTCTCTTTGCCCCTTGCCCTCTATCTTTCTCACTCTCTCACTCTTTCTATCTTTCCCTCTTTCTTTTACTCTCCCTAGCTCTTTTGCTCACCTTTCGCTTGATCACAAATGCTATCTCACTTCCTCATCCATTTCGCTCATCCACCATCTCTCTCCCTCCCTCTCCCCTCCTCTCTCTCTCTCTCTCTCTCTCTCTCTCTCTCTCTATCTGTCTACATATCTCTTTGTCGCTCATTCCCTAGTGTTCGCTCAAACCTCGCTATGCGTGTCCTGTTGTGTTAGGATTGTCCGATGCGTACTATTCACATTGCATGCGCGTAACAGACGCGCAAATATCAGCATATCGCCCGCTGTGAATAAACCCCGCCAGCGATATACACGAGGGCGACGACACGACGTCTCGTGACGACAAATGTCAGCGCGACCCAGGACGGCGCGACGTCGTACCGTACATTCGGACCATTATACCGAGAAAGCTTCCGACTATTTGTGGCTCTACGTTAACGACGATTTATACGGTGGCGATGACGATGGCGATGACGGTGGCGATGACGCATGCGCGTGACGCGAGACCGAGACGCCGTAGGCTTAAACACGCTGTCATCGTTGTCCTCGCTGCCCGCGTCTCTCTCCCGCCGTCGAGCGCCCGGAGTATAACCGGGATGACGTGCCCGCGAGCCAAGGCGCGTCTCTAAAGCTTTCCCAGAGAAACCCTTTTCTCGCTGCGCCTGTCGGCGGCGAGCAGCGTGAGGAGCGAGAAAGAGCAGTTAAATGAGCCGCTGAGAGAGAGAGAGCACGAAGAGAGGGAGAAGGAAGAAGGAAGCGGAGTGTGAGAGAGAGAGAGAGAGAGGAAGAGAGAGAGAGAGAGAACGAGACGAAGAAGGCACAGCAAGAGAGAGGAAGAGAGAGGAAATGAGGGAGGGAGACTGAGAGAGAGAAGGAGGGAGATAGGCAAGGATGGAGGGAGACTGAAAGAAAGAGAACGGCTGTGCAGAGAAGAGACAGCAATTCCATAGCCAGAGAAAAAAAAGACAATAAAACCGTTCGAGAGAAAGCAAGGAAGAGAGCAAGGGGGAGGAGGGAGGGAGACTGAGACAGAGAGAAGGAGGGAGAGAGGTGAGGGAGAAGGGAGAATGAGAGAGAGAGAGAGAGAGAGAAGGAGGGAGCCATGAGAGAGAGTTATAGACACAGTCAATTCCATAGACAGAGCAAAGGCAGAGAATAATTAAAAACGTGCGAGAGAGCAAGGAAGAGAGAGATAAAGAGAAAGAGGGAGCAGGCAGAGAAAAAGAAACATACAGAGAGAGAGAGAGAGAGAGAGAGAGAGAGACGAGACGATAAGAGAGAGACGGAGAGCGAAGAAAGAAGAGAATGACAACGAAAAGTCGCGCCCTCGCGAAAGTTCAGAAATGAGAATAAAGCAAGAGAAAGATTGGGGAGAGAGAGAGTGAGTAAGGAGAAAGAAAGAGGAAGAGAACAAAAAGTAGGAGAAAGAGTATAAGAGCTGAGTGAAAAGAAAAGAAAAGGAGAAGGGAGAAAAGCGAGGGAACGAAAAAGAGGGGGACACAATAGAGTTGAGGTGAAGTGAGTGAGGCGATAGATGACAGCTGATACGAGGGGTTGCACTGAAGGCGAAAAGCGGAACCTCGAACCCGGCACGGAATGACAGGAAACCGCCGCATCGGCAATTATTTGCCTTTAGGATGAACGCGCCCGCTGCCGGCGCGCCGCCCCAACAAATGCGATCCCCGCATGCGTCCTAACGACATCCTGGCCGACCGACGTGCAACGCGACGTAATTTACTACGTGCCGTCGGCGCGGCGTCATTGTTCATAGCGCGAGCGACTAGCAGCGTTGACGCTGGCCGCATTCTCAACGCCCACTTAGCTTCCGCGGTACCGCCAACGTTATCGCGCCGGCCAGCCGTGAGCGTTGTACGTGTGTGTCGTGTGTGGTGTGTGTGGTGTTGTGTGCTGGTGTGTGTGTTGTGTGTGTGGTGTGTGGCTGCTGTGTGTCGTGCCGTGGCGCCTGTGTGTGTGTACGTGTTGTGCTGTGGGGGGGGGGGGTTGTGTTGGTGTGTACGTGTGGTGTGGGGGTTTGCTGTGTCTGTGTGTGTGTGTTGTGTACGTCGTGCGTGGGGGGGTTTGTGTGTGTGGTGATGTGTGTGTGTGTGGTGTGTGTTTGCCGTGTGTGTGTGCGTGTCGTGCCATGCCGTGTTGCGTGTGGTTGCGTAGTGCGTGTGCTGTGTGCGTGTGGTGCGTGTGTGTGTGTGTGTTGTGTGCTGTGTGTGGTCGTGTGTGTGTGTGTGTATGTGTGTGTGTGTATGTGCACGCGTGTGTGTACGCGGTGATGTGTATAAGCAGCAGGTAATCGCGGGGGTTTATGTATATAGCGCGAGAGTCGACGCGTTGGGAGAGAATAAAAAAACACAGGTAATCCCATCGTTAAATTCATTCGGTGACAGGTATGTTAGCAATATCCTCGACGATAGGATGTCAGTTGATGACCCGCACCACAGACTCTCTCTCACACAGGCGCAGTGTAGCGCGTCGTTGCTCACCGTATATGTATGCTTGCACCGCGTATGCGAACATTAGGAGATAGCAGGTAAATAGTCAGAAACGCGCTATATTCGAGTTTTTTATGCAGTAACACAAATATTTGCTGATTGAGTGTAGTACGGATCTATGAAGAGGAAAAGGAAGATGATGGTGAATAAAAGTATTATTAAATTTGTGCCGCGAATGATAAAATGTAACTGAAAATAAGGAATTGGACGAAGAAGAAGAAAAAGTAGAAAAAGAATAAAAAGAAAAAGAAGAGAAAAAGGTGGAGAAGAAGAGGAAGAAGAAGAAGAAGAAGAAGAAGAAGAAGAAGAAGAAGAAGAAAAAACAGACAAAGAAGATGATGTCGGCGTAGACAGTCTAACACGAACACGCTTTTATGTAATGTACATATACAATGTAATTCGTAGTTTACAAGAAATAGCATCTTATGATACAAACGTCGCTGTCTCGGCTGCATCATTCAGCGCGCAATCTAGCTCTAATTATAAAAATATATAGATATAGCATATACATATATAGAGAAAATAGCGCAGTATAATAGCAAATAAGCAGACTGTGTAGTAATCGAAATCGCCTACCACAGAAGCAGAAAACGAATAGACAGTTCGCGCACGCCGTAGCAGCGTATAATGTCAAAATCTATCGGTGATAAATTGGAAACTAATCTATAATTTCTCTAATCAAGATTCTTGCACTATCTGTCAAGACACGATGTACGAGCCGTTTCTCTCCAAGACCATGGGCGCCCCAATGTCCCGTGTGCAATCTTTGGCATTCCGCTGTAGATGTGCCGGCCGAATACGCCAACTCGAATAATGTTTCGAACCGGATCCGACTCTGGCCGGACAGTCTTTGGAAACGGTGTATAAATGTACAAAAAATATTCTTCGCGATTATTAAACGTCGACAATCGAAGAGCAATATTTACATAGCACTTTCGTAGCATATTATACTTCTACAAACAGTAAACATATAGTTTTCTACGAGTTGCCCGTTGCCTATACTAAGGGTAGCAATATCATACACACACACAGTAGTTGGTGAATTCGATGATAAACTGGCCGAGAACTACATATATATATATATATATATATATATATATATATATATATATATAGAAGTATATTATATAGTACGTAGTACGTATAGTAGTACTAACGTTAACTTACGTACGTTACTTAACTAAGTTAACGTTTACC